TTTTTTTTTTTTTTTTTTTTTTTTTTTTTTTTTTTTTTTTGGAAGGGGCCTCCTCCTTCCGAATGTTTAGGTGAATGTATTGTACTTACTTTATCCGTCCTCTTGTACCGCTAGGGCGTCGAGAGGAATGTGTTATAACCGTCAATAAACCATTTTCATTGTCCTTAAATTCGTGCAACACTCCTTTCCTCTACTGTATTGTAAAGTTATTAAGGAAGCTGAAACCCCGAATTTAACGTCCAACTCCGACAGGACCGAGCGAGATCAATTGGGTTGAAAGCCTTAAAAACTCAAAACTTACAACACAATATCTACTAAAAGTTACGACACGTTAAAATACACGTACTGTCAATTGGTGAACACAAGATACAGATCTGTCGATTGCTGTTACATTTAATTAAATGGAAAGAAAATATTTGCAAAAAAAGTAGTGCGCACGCGGACAAAAACCATAAAAACATAAGAAACAAAAATAAGAAGCGACATAAAAATGGATTTGTAGTACAAAAAATCACAAGTTACTAATGGACATATCAATACATAAAGTAGAAATTTGTATGCACAAAATCAGAAGGAGCAATAATTGCTATTATTTAGGTTTCACATGAGTGCCAGGCCTTGGGGAAGGCATTGGGATTTTTGAAAAATTCTCTTTCAAAGTATTTCTTGGAAGAAAGGTTGATGAGCCAAAAGAGACACCAGCTATTTTATTCGAGTTATCATCGTCGAAAGTACACAGGCAATATCTATCTATCTATCTATCTATCTATCTATCTATCTATCTATCTATCTATCTATCTATCTATCTATCTATCTATCTATCTATCTGTCTATCGATCTATCTATCGATCTATCTTTCTATCTATTTGCTCCAGTTATTCTGAAATTTTGGTAGTCCAGATCTATTCCCGATGAGTAACACCAATCTAACTCTATGGGACGATGTGCAATACGAGGAAGAATAGGTAGAATTATAAAGAATGAGGTGTGTTGAAAGAAAAAAGAATTTAATCTCTGATTCTATCCCAATGGACACAGATAGATATGTGAGGTACGCTCGTACGTGGTGAAATCAGGCGCTCTTCAAAATAATGAAATAGAAGAGCACGGCACTTTTTTTTCAGCTTAGCAATTTTTATTAGATTTGTATTTTTTGGCCCATCTTTAATGTGTATTAAAAACATTGCTATTTGGATTTTACTGAAAAACGTCGATTAAAGGCATTTTAAAAATGTAAATTTACAGTTTCCATGGACTCCCAAGCTGTGGAAGTTGACCTACTTTGGTGGTCATTTTATCGTTAATTTTAATTATGAAATGAGGTGACCCCCTCCTCCTTCACTCCAAAAATTCTCGACTTTTATTGAAGATAGATGAGTACCTTTTGCATCGAAAGATAGTCAAATGAACAAGCTCTTATATTATACCAGTAACTTCACTTGCCAAAAAATTGACGAGCGCCTGATTCTACCACGTCGTGAAACATATGGAATTTGTAGTTTGTTTGTACAATGTATTATGTGAAATTATCCAAGACATGTTTAACTCCAAGAAAATGGCTACAGTTTAAAAACTATAGATTTGGTAGATCTGTGTCTGTTTTCGTGGATTGCAAGAAGTAACTCATTATTTTGTCAACATGCTTTACAACTCCATTCTCTTGCTGATATCAGATTATACAGTGTTATGAAATTGAATCCATGGGTTTGGGGGGGGGGGGGAGGGGGGTTATGCCAGATCTGAAACATACACAGATAAGCGTGGTTCGACACTTCTTTTTCTGTTCGAATATTGTCAATGAAAGATATCTATTATCTATTTGTGGTGGCCGCCAAAAGATTCTTTAAAATATTTTCCTGAGCATGACGCATTGTTTTTTCAGTGTTAAGACAGTTTTGCTGCAAAAAGCTAAATTTCTTTATTTCGCCGATCGCTTTTGTAGGCCGACGCTTCTGTCTCTGTAATTTTAGAAAATCCGGAAGTGATATTTCGCGAGGCGCGTTTTTGTTTGGAGAGTATAGATCTAGATCTTATATGTAATTTTTTGCATCTCTCAAGATTTATTGCCCCATTCCAGTAGAGTGTAAATATAGTAGGCCAATGACTTTTAGTTGATATTAAAGCACCTTTCATACCTTTCATCGAAAGGGGGCCCAGCTGCTAGTAATCCTATATTATTCTATCCTCGTCTTTCCAAGTCTCCTTTCTTTTCGAATCCTCTTAGTAAATTATTCTCGATCTATCTGTGTTTATTTTCCCATAATTTGTTTATGGGTTTGTTTTCTTAAATTAATTATGACAAAATGAAATCAAATCAAAACAGTCTAAACTTGAGTTGCTTTGCTGCAAACACTTTTGTGTCGGTAGGTATATAATATTATGTCACGATGCGGTGGACTCAGGCGCTGGACAATTTTTAGGCATGTGGAGCTTTTGGTATCATGCTAAAGCTTCTCCCTTGAAAAAATACTCATCTATCTTAAAAACAAGTCAAGATATTGCGATTGAAGGAGATGGGTGTCACGTGGTTTGAGCTGTAAAATTAGCGAGAAAATGGCCGCTAAAGATTGGTAACTTCAGTAGCTTGAGAGCCCTTGAAAACTGAAAAAGTACATATTTAGTGCCTTAAATCAACGCTTTTCTGTAAAATTCACACGGGAATGTGTGTTTAGATGGACATAGCATGTGTTGAGCCAAAAAAACAAAAAATTGATATAAATTCCCAAACTGACGAAAAAAATGCCTGTTTCCTTGTTTTCATTATTTTGACGAGCGCCTGATTTCACTGTGATGCCTCACTATATATATA